TCTCCTTTTCTCTCTTCCTCTCTCTCTCTCTCCTTATCTCTCTCTCTCTCTCTCATTCTCTCTATCTCGGACTCTCTCTCTCACAAAAAACCCTTTAAGAAAAACACACACTCGCACACCGTCTCACACACACATACACATTCTTGATCTATTGATTTTAAAACTTTCTTCATTTGAATGCGTGCAAGTGCTACGATTAAGCATTTCGCTATGTAGACTACGCAAGAGACAAGTTCAATTTCCGAACCAAGAGACTACATTATCCAGCATCTCTATCATCCTGCTGGTATGTACTATTCCCCGAAATTTGCTACTACAGCTTGATGAATGCAGCTCGCCCCTTAAGATTTAAAGCGTGTCGAGTAGGCCGTTAAAATGCATTCAAAGTTTTTGATGAATTACTGATTTTCCCGCCCTGATTTCCGTCGTCTTGGAGTAATGTGTTGTTCTCTGTTTTGCACTGACTACACATTCCCTTTATTAAAGAGAGACAAACAAGAGGAAACATACGCACACACACACACACACAAACGCAAACATACACACACACACACACACACACACACACACAAACACACACAAACACATACACACACGTACATACACACAGACACACACAGACATACATCTAATGCTACTCTAGAATTCCAAAGTTTTATCAGCTCAGTACTTAATTTTGAGAAATTTGATGCAAAAGTTAAAAGTTTTGAGCTTCACAACATGTCAAACGTTTTAGAATGCAGTTCTTTGAATATCTTGATAAAGGCTCCGAATAATCTAACGATTTTCAATGTAGCCGATAGAACATTTGGTAAGTGACTTCACGATATTTGTAACTCAAATGGCTAAATATATCATATAGAACTTTACAATTCTGAGGAAGCGAATTAATACAAAATGACAAACAAACACAAACGCACTTAGACAAAAGCAAGCCTCAGTTTTAGTGAACAGAAACTCACACGAGTCGCCCCCCTCCCCCATACTTTTTTTCCAAATTAATAAAATCGTTCCTTCCTAAACTGCCTTCTCAAGCTGATTCAAACGTTCCCCTTTCAGCACACTGTTTAGACACACACGTACAGTGTTTCTGTGATCTAAACACGAGAGCTCTAGCTCACACAAGCAAGGTGTAGATTTATACTATACTAAATCACACACACACACACACACACACACACACACACACACACACACACACACACACACACACACACACACATACACACACACTCATGTACACACAAACACGCACACACACTTGGCTGGTATAATATGACTATAGCAATGATATTAGAGTTGGTATAATATCAAAGGCTGATATAACAAAGACTATGTGTTACCACAACAAATGATCACATTAATAATCATCAAAAACATTTATTAGTAAAATAACGGCCTGTATAACATAGGTTAGCGTAACACAGGCTAAAGTAAAACTCACGCTATCATGACCAGTAAAAAAATAATATGTTGTGTATCTTTGCCTTTTACACCGGTAGTCTGAGTGTTAAGGAGTTCTGGGTGGCTATGAGTGACGTCAGACGAACTGCCCCCTGTGCCTTAATCCACACTCTAGAATAACTCCGTTAGAGCGGCGCGTCAAACACTTAAAAAACGAAGAGACGTATAATCCATTAACTGTGACCGTTTCCTGCTTTAGTGTCAATGTAATCAGATGACAGCACCCTGCTTTCTTAGAACAACGACCCCCCCCCGCCCCCATCTTCTCAATCGGTCCACCCCAACGCTTTGAACATTTAGTTTATTTGTTTATTTATCTATTTGGTTTCTAAAATGAAATGCCCTGGTAGCCTTTGAATGAGATAAATTATCAGGGAGTTGAGACAGTACACCAGGGAGTTATTTATTGTTCCTTGAAAAATCAGAAAAATCTATAGCCCTCTCAGATTCGAACTTCCAACCCACGCTCAATGGTGTTATCAGAAGTTTATTCCGGATAACAAGAACCAAGAGCGCCGTGTAATTGACCCCATCCCCTTTCCCCGTCATCGCCACCCCTTTCTCACCACCCCCCCCTCTTTTTTCATGGGATAAACTATGACGTTTTTGCTACATAAAGTGGGAGAAACAAAAATCCATGACACTGTCGCACTGACAATAAAACAGAGGCCAGCACCGCACCTCCGACATGCTATCGACATTTTTTGTTCACCTGAACATTATTTATTTTTCCTTTCTCTTGCTGTTTGTTCTTCTGTCTCTTCCTTGTGCAGATCCATGATGGCTTCAGCTTGCTGTGCTATTATAATATAGTTAATTTCATTCTCTTGCTGAGAATTGAGTGGATGCTCTTTTAGGAACTTATCTCCCCCCCCCCACCCCCAAACACATACACAACCAAAACAAAAAACAAGAAATAAAACTTCAAAATCCACAGAAACACACAAATAATTTACTAGTAATATTTTTTAAAAACATTACCCAAACAAACTGAGGATACGGTATTCAAATGAGGGTTCTACGAAATGTCGTAATGAAAAAGCTAACATGAAAGGCAGGTTAAAATGCGAGAACGCCGATTTTGACCAAACAGCTTTAATTCTTATACGACGCGACAGTTTAGATGACACTGGCTTCGTTCAGTTGTTTGCAATCATAATAACGAAATCTGCGAAATCTCAGTGAATCTCAAAATACAATTGATTAATTGAACTATAATAATTAGTATGTTCAATGCATGGGGCATTCCTTTGTATCCAGCTCAGGGTTTATTTTATGCAGATGGTTTTGTGGGTGGTTGGCGGGGGCTGTCGTGTAGTTTGTGCCTTCTTTCCTATCAAATATATTATTGTCCTTATCTTTCCTCTTTTTGTTTATTTGTTACTTTCTGGTGACACCTCTAATTTCCGGCATTTAAAATGACCCTATTGCGTTGCAAGTGCTGTAATATTCTTACTAAAACTTAACGGAAATAGACGAAATAGGAGAATATTTATGGGGGGAGCTTTGAGATGATTCAGAACAGGACCACAAAGTAGGCTGCGTAAAAAAAGGTGGAGTGATAGCCTTTCGTATACAAAGAGTTAAGTCCAGATGCGTGACACCAATACGATGTGAGGGGTCTTCAATATTATAATAATATATTATGTTTTTTCGTGTCTGGGACGGGGGCAAAGATAGATGTATCGCTACCGTGATACAAACCTAGGCATAATACATTTTTGTGTAAGAACTGAGAGCAGTGCCGTTTGGAACCTTTTGCAAAGATTTCTGGTCCGGAGAGGGAATGTGGTAGGGATGTGTTATGGTAGGGTGGAGAGAGAGAGAGAGAGAGAGAGAGAGAGAGAGAGAGAGAAAGAGAGAGAGAGA